ACACAGGTAGATGTCAATAAATATCTCTCGCTGCTTCATCTCACTTCCATGTTTAGCAGGTGTGTTTCTGCTTACATGAATATCTTGGGAAATAACTGATTTTCCAAGAAAAGTTGATATGCATTCAGTGATCTGAAATTAATGCAAGTGATGGTGTGCCAGTAAATGCAGGAGAAATGGATTTCTCACAGGAACTTTCATAATCTTAGAGTATTTGTGTTTTCTAAGTAAGAAGAGGCAACTGTTAAGTGAAAGTTAGCATTATTCATATATAAAAATGTTGCTTTCCTTTTAAAGACACTTCAGATCATCAAGCAGAAACTAGACTTTTTACTAAGTTTCAGCAGATTTTTACTAAGTTTTACTACTTTAAGCAGTAATTATTCTTCTACCTCGCATACTTTTTCCTTATTAAGAATTATTCTTGTCACTGTAACTAATTCAGAAGGATGCTAATTTGATGAAACAAACAAACAAGAACACCAAATATTGTGAAACTGACATCATGATGATGGAAAAGTCACTTACTACATCTATGTACTATTTGCTCTATACAGCTTGTGCTGTAAATAGTTCTGGTAGTGCCAAAATATCAGTGGTTCATCAGAAGGGACTGATTTTCAGGTGTTGCAGAAAAATAACATTTTGAGACAAAGTATTTTTAAGGTTACACAGAAATATAAGTAATGACTGTTTTGTGGTTTGGTTTTTGTTTATATTTTTGGTTTGTTTTATTCCCCAGAGACTATGTGTAATGCTGTGGAAATGTTAAAGGTAACTGAACTGTGGTGGAAGGGGCAGTGGTTCCTGTCAGTACAGTAATTAGTGTTGTGCAGTCATATATACTGCCACAACTGGCTTAGATCATTTCACTTTCTCAGCTATGAAAATGAGAAAAGTTACTAATTTTGGAGTTATAGAGTCAGTAGCAGGGACTAGAACTAATACATATGTGTCAGTGCAACTCATATTTTCCATAGAAATATAGAATTACAGCCATCTTGCTGTTACACTGAGCAGTGAAATGTAATAAAGCAGTCATTTCAGTGAGATCAGCTGGTACAGCTGATGATATTAAAAATTATTATTTGCATGCATTTTTTATTTCCTTCCATAGGAGAAGCTTGGAAGATGTAAATAAAAAATAAATCAAGAGTGATCTTGGGCTGTTGTAAGTACATGTCTGAATGATCTCAATGCTAGTGCTAAGCTCAGATCCTGAGTAAGTTAACAAGAAGTGAGGTCATGAACCATATGGAATAATACTGGATGATAAAACCAAGCCAACATAACTTCATAAAAGGTAAAAATCTTGAGTGTGATGTCATCTAGCACACTTAACCCTGGGGAAATAATGCAAAGAACAGATGGATAATGTTACAGTTGTGGTCTTCTTGGATTTCAAAATGGCTTTCAGCGAAGTCCAGAACCACAGCCTGAATGGATGAGCCTGGTGCATATCCCCATATCTTAATCCACATCTCCAAACAAGGACAAAACTTGGCTAGAGATAAAATGTATAAAGTAGGTTAAATGATAGTTGTCATCCACATGCCAGCAGAATTCAAACCACAAGAGTCACCAGTCATGATTTTGCTCTCACAAGGACACAAGGCAATATGGCAATTCTTCCCCATCTTCTTCATGCTGCAGATTGCTCTGGAAGGACCCCAGGAAGTTCTGCTTGTCAGTTCTCATGTTCCTCTTGTGGACACTGCTGCGGCCAGGATGTGATGCTCTGGGAGTGCCAGTGGCTGGACCATGGAAGCTCTATAGAGGATGACACTGTCAAGCTAAGCAGCCATGCAATGCATGATGTGCTTTGTCCCCAGTGGGAGAAGAGCTACTGGGCTGGATGGAGCAAATGAAAACCCTGCAAGCCTCCAGCATCAGTAGATCAACTACACAATTTCTGAGGTAGGCAAAATCTTTTGTTTATGCTCTGACAGGTGGCTCTGAAGTGGAGGTGGTGCATTTTATATGAGTTCTTCTAATTGTGAAGAAGGATACAAAATTCTGATGTAGTAATTTTTATTTTAATAATGAATCTTTTCACCTGAAACACAACTCTATGAGAATATGCTACCCAGAGGGCAATTAGAATAGGGTATGCTTCTTGTGACCCTTGTTGCTAAATGAGATTAAGGCCACCTGAGAGGAATAACTAATTTTTTCCGTTAGCTCAGGCATTATTGACTCTGAGCAGTCAGAACAGGCAAATCTCTCAAACAAGTGTGGAAGGTAGCTACAGGTCTCAGAAGATAAGGAGTTCTTCATTTACTTGAGATGCTGGTATTTCCTGCCCTGGGGTACTTTAGGACAGTAAAACTGCAGTTTGGTCAGCAGTTTTGAATATAGCAGTACCCAGTCTCATCAGCTGTTTCACCTCCAGACCTTCATCATTTGCTGTTGAAAGGTAAAAGTGTTTGAAGAAACTGAGGTATCATAGAATCATTGAGTTGGAAAGGACTCTTAAAGGCCAACTTGTCTTACTCCTCTGCAACGAACAGGAACACCTGCAGCTTGAACAGGTGCTTAGAGTCAGGCCCAGCCTGACCTTGAGTGTCTCTAAGGATGGGGCATCCACCAATTGGAAGGCTATACTGAACAGAAATAGCTCTCTGCTGGGGGAGACATAAATAACAACTGCATCATCACTTTCATCACAGGGAAGGCTTTCTTCCTCTTTGGCCAAGAGATTGATATCAACTTTGCTGCATCTTACCTGCATTCTCCACAATGGAAACTCAAGCACTGTCTTCTGTATTGATGCCATTCTTTTTTTTTTACATTTTATATTTATTTGATTTTATTTTTATGAGCAAATAAACACTTCTGAATCACTTGAATGTTCAGAAGTATTTTTGAGCACTGAAGCCATGCAGATAGGTTTTAATGATGAGCATCTCAGCTTAACATAATTATTCTTGATGAGAAGACAAAGGAATCCACCTTCAGCTATACCTCAGTAAAACCAATAATGAATCTACAGATGTTTAATGATATAAAGCTAAAACAGACAAAGAGGCTCATGTTGTTTTAATTTTTTCACTATAATTTAAGCTTAGCCTTAAAAAAGCCCTGTGAAGTTTTACAGTTGAAATGCAAAGAACCTCAGAGAATGACAGGGCTCTGAAGGCTAAATCCAGCTTCTTTCAAAGGAAGTTAACCTCCCTGTTGCTTTCACAAGAAATTGCATGTTAGGAAATGAATTTGTATGGTGATTAGAGCATTATTTACTGAAAGATAAAATTGATGAATATATTTCAGACCTGTATTTCAATTACTGAAGTTGTGGTTTCTTGGTAGGAGGCGAACAGTTTGTATGACAGCAGTTTATATAAACTCAGAGTTCAAATTGTAAAATCCACAAGGAACTGGAAAAGGATGTGCTACCTGGAAGCCATTAACAAAATACTGTCTGACTGTTGTCAGATGCCTATATGTACCTCAGCTGTAGCTGTGATTGATAAAGCAGGGTAATTTTTTTAATCTCCTTTGTGATATGTTGAAGACAAAAAAAATTGGTTTTCTTTGGGAAGATATGTATTAGGTATTAGAATGATTTTAAATTATGATTGAAACTAAGGAAGCATGATTAAATCTGCAGGAAGATTAGTGGGTTTGATTCTATTTTCAGAATGATGAAAATAAAAGCATTTAATGGAAAAAAATCAAAACCCAATAGTTTAAGGATATGCCAGCTCTTGATGCTGCAGTGTGAACTGGAGTGATATCTAACTGCAAATAGATTAGAAGTACTAGAAGCAGTGTAAATGCAGAGTAGGGCTTTGTAAGGTAAGCACATGTATTGTAAATGGAATTCAGTAGATGGTCTTGAATTCAAGAAATTGTCTCAGAACTGATATGTCTGGTTGAAATGAACATGGAAAGAAAAAGTGTACTCAAAATCTGGTCAATTAGTGGAATTAAAATACTAAAGTTTTATGTAATCACACGTCAAAGTTGTGTCATGTAAATAATATTGCAATCACATTAGTTAGTAGTAGATTTAATAATTGTAGAAGAGAGATTTTCTTGCAAATCCTTCTCGTGTAATTTAATACAGACCTCTTGCTAGATTGCGTTACATGGAGCAGGAATTTAGATCGTGTTCCTAGGCCAAAAAGCTGAAGAAACATGCCTGTCTCTGGTTATTATTTTGCTGTGAATCTGAAACAGTTGTATTATGTTGAATGCCTAGCCTGGAAGAAAAATAGAAAACAGAAATACAGATTAGAAATGGGTGGTAGTCAGGCCTGCTGGGCAAGTAAGTGTATTCTGTCTTGAGTTCGAAGAGGAAACAGGACACCATGGATTGGGTCAGCACTGCTAAATGGGAATTTGCAGCATCTGAAGCAAATCCCAGAAATGATTAGTTAGGGTAACGGTTGTTCAAGTGGGAATCAGGAGCAGCTATGTGGATCAGAAATACCGCAGGATCTCTTTTAGTCCTGAAATAACTTTGTGGCTCTTATGCCTTCCTTTATTAGTTTTCTGTATGCAAATGTTGGCTGTTGGTTTTTTCCTCTTCTCCTAATGACTCCTGTATCTTTGAATCCTCAGCAAAGTTTGTTGTCTACATACATATTTACAATAGGTAAAAGGATTTTTAATGGGACTATCTAAGAGAACTCAAAGCACAACCAATTGCATTTGCTTTAAAGCGAGTTTGAAATATTAATCTTTTACTTGAAAAAATAATGTTGAATGGCTTCCAGTGGGGGGTTTTTCTTTGGAAAAATTCAGCTGAAGCATCTCAGCTGTCTGTAGAGATGGGATGGAGATTGATATGTCGTTTGGCTCAAAGCCAGTGGAAAGAATAGCTAAAGGTTTGTACAGGAACTGTTGAGTCATAGCCTGAACCACTGATTGAGCACCTGGGGAAAGGACCCTATCAACCCTGGGAGCACAGGTGTAGGCAATTCATCAGTGTGATTGGAAGGGATGGAATCTGGCTGTACCTCTCTTAGATCTCATTTTAAGGGTTGACTGCCAGTGGGGAAGCTTCTCTTTCTGGAGATACCTCCTTGGTGAAGATTTCTCTTGTGAATGCAGAATCTTCTAGTATGAGTGAGTAACCTTTTTCCTTTTCTTTGTAGCACCTTTCTATTAGGCTGGTCTTTCTGTCATCACAGCTTCGTTGTAAAGCTTTTCCTATCATGTTAATCTATCCAATTGTTACAAGGTTGCTTTGTAGTGTGTATGTACGTGCAATGTAAGCTGTGGCTGTAAAGGAAGCATCAATTCAATGTTCCCAAACTTCTAAGTGCTTAACCTTACAAACTTTATGTCTTTAATGAAAGTTTTTATTTTTTATAGATGGAATAGAGGAGCTTGCCCTTGGTTTCATTGCTCTCATCAAAATGTAGTATGAAATGCAATTAGAAGTAAGCTGAAAAGGTGTCTATAAGCTAGTGACTTTCATAGGCTTGCACCCAAGCAGAATTTTGCTGGAATGACAATGCATTTGTGACTGTGATGAAGGAAAATCTTATGAAGGTCCTATGGAAAAACTTATGGGAGAAAGCATAAATGTGGTGTGCAGGAAATTCTGCTTGTTGTGAAACAAGGTAGTGTGGATCTCTATGAAGTCAGGGGTAAGAGTAGATACAACTTTCTAAAGCAGACAGAGTTCTTGGCTAGATTTACACCCTCCCAAGCAATGGAAAGCAGAGGTATGAGCTATTGACGAATGCCAGTCTGTTTGGTGTCATTTACCCCATTAAGTTCACGGGAGATGTACTGATTGCAGACAGACCAGTAGGCAGTCTCTGCCCAGAGGGCATCTTTTCATAGGTGGAAGCACTTTACAGAGAGCCTGTTTGCTGGTCTTCCTTCCTGTTCTGCTCCAATAAAATGATTTTTGCTCCCAAACTGTTTACCCTAGCCACATAGGAGAACTTTGAGTTGAAGCTGCCATTCTCTTCTTCCCTTTGTGTGTGCCTGGAGATCCTTGAGATTGCTGTGTAATCAAGATGACCTAAAGGGGTGTTTCGTATTGGATACTTATGTTTATATGATGGACTATGTGTGTTTTATTAGTTATGCTTAAAAATGTATTAAAAAGTACATTCCTGATGTTTGGTTTGCATTGTGACTGAAACTGATTTATATTCACAGTGAAAGGAATTGGTATTGCTAATTGAGTAAAAGTTCTATTAATGTTTCAAAATTACAGGAATTGGTAAATTATTTGTGGGATTTAGTCAGTTTTCTTAATGCGTGTTAAAACCTGCTGAGGGAGAAAGTGGGGGAGGAATTCCTATGAGCTCAATATTAACTGAGCCATTTTAAATAATGGGCTTGTCATACTAACAAATACTTCTCTTTCATCAATGTCTGAACTTCTTTTGTTTATGAAATCTAAAGGACTTCCTCTGAAGACATGAGGAAGCACAGTAAAAAGTTACTTAGAACGTATGTTTATGATAGGTGATATCTTTAGATTTTACTCACTATATATTTATTATAGCTTTTATCTGCTAATGGCTTACACTATTTTCCTTTTCAAATTTTGCATTCCAAGATTATCATAAGTGGATAAGTGGATTCTCTCCCATGTATTTGATGTAAACAGCATGAATTTTACTGCTTGCTTTGGGTGTTTTTAAGAAAACAGTAGAAAAATCCAAAACAATTGAGTATAATGTTCTTGCCCATCTGCTTTACGAGCCTGGCAGGAAGAAGTTCATAGATGAACAGATGGAGTCAGTACAAACTAATCACTTTATCTGTTAAATTTTGAAATGATGACAGAGTGCTTAAAGTCTAGCTCTGTACAATGGAGACATAAGGGTTTATGAAGCTAGCACCTGATGGGTAACTGTTACCCATGAAGGAAGATGGAATCACAAAATGCTGCTCTGGTGGGGCCATTGGTTCATCTGGTTTATTTTGCTTCAATGGTAATATTCCCCATGTGGGGAGGAGCAGCTGATGTCTGCCTGAGTGATGTCAGTAACAGCTAGAGATGCTCTGTTCCTCAGATATTTGAAAGGGGAAAATGAAAAATTCTTTTTCAAAAGACTGGCATGGTCTAGAGCAGAACAAGAAAACAAGCAGCTGGTCATGCTTTCCATCTGATCCATAGATTTAACATAGAATAGGAAAATCCTGTCTCATGTAATTGCCCTCAAGTATGCTTTAAGCACAGCATATAATTTCTAGAGTGTCTGAATTAAATAAAACCATCCAACCACTTGTTTATGTAAAATAAAACAGAAACAGTGTTTAGGCCTGGTTAATGATTCAGAATATCTTGCTGGCCATTGTGTCAACAAATTAACAGAAGAGATGTTTGGAAACTTAATGTACTGTGCAAGCAGTTGTACAGGACAGCTGGAAGGAAATACTTTTTTCCTTTTTGAAAAGGAATGGGAAACTCCAAGGTGAATTTTTTTTGGCCTGACTTTATTTTAGGATTCTTTTACATAGCCTGGAAAGTATGTATCCAGTACAATGTTGTCTGTGTGACGTATCTGTATAGTAATGTTCCTGGTGTACAAAATATGGGTAGTGGTTTAATACTTAAAACTTCACTGATCGTGTACCTGTTCAAGTCTGACATTATGGAGGATAATTTCTGTAAAAAAATTATTGAGCTAGTATGCGTATCCTTCCATCATAGCCAACTCCACAGCTCCCCTCCAGCAGCATTTTAAGGGAGCATTTCCTCACATAATGCTAACAATGCTTACAAGCACTCCATTACCTGAATTACCAGTTAATGGACTGTTACTGTCTGTGATGCCCGTCTCATGGGAGGAACTGGGGTGTTCCTAAAACAGCCTCAGAGCTGTCAGGAGAAAATAAATCCTCTAGATTTTCTGCTCAGCTAAGTATGCTGTATGCTAGTCCTCATTTGAGATCACAACTCTCAAACTGATGTTTCTTCATCCTTCCTCAGTTTTAGGGATATATTAATTCTGTATCTATCTGGAATGCCGAACTTTTGTTACCATCTACGCTGATAGTGTTTGCTGTTGTATAATAAATAGAGTACTACAGTAGCATTAAAGTGCAGACACCCATTATTTGGGTTTTATTTTTGCTTTCCTCTGCATTTGCATTTTCTCAGGAATTTTACCAGTCTTTGCAAACAGTGCATTCCGAACTTGAGATTTCAGTTAAATCAGGATTTAGCAAATGACAGTATTTACTTTAGGACTAAGCTTTGCAGTTTGTAATGCTGCATGTTTTAGTGTGTTAATAGAGGTGATTCAATCAACTCTGTCAAAGATAACCTGGAGAAATTTGTCTTAAACCATGTTTTGATGAAAACTGCTTAATATTATGCCACTGCATGATGTTCTATAATATCTGGCAAGCACTTAGTTGTAGTGTATTTCTGATTTGTTTTTTGGGGGGTAAAGGAAAAATAATATAGGACTTATTACCTTTTTTTTCTTTTTCTTTTTTCTTTTTCTCTTAAGAATTGTGTTTTTATGCTTGCTTATGTGCTTTAACCATGGCACCATTTGGATTCCCATAGAAATAATATTTGATCTTTGTTTAAATCTGTTATCTTAGGTAATATATTCTTCAGAGTTAACATTCCCATTCCTGCTGCCTTTTTTTTTATTGCTGGGGAGCAGATAGCTGAAACTATCAATTTCCCAGTTTGAATCTGCTTTTAACTAAGACTTAGTTTTTAAAAGAACTGTTAAAAAGCATCAGTGGACAGCTTTGTTGCTTAAATCTGTTGTACAGCAACAGTACTATGAATTCCAGAAAACCAGAGGTGGCAGAAATGTGAAAAACACAGCTACAATCTGGGAACTTCTTGGCACTTTTGACTACTCCCTTGGCTTGGGTGTTAGAGTATTCTATAATGTCAAGCCAAGAATGTGTGCCTTTAAACTTATAAGTTGTACTGCTTTTCAGATGTTATCTTTTCATCTTCTGCTCTAATATTATTCTTCATTTCTCTGAAAAATTCCTTGGAGTTACTGGTCCTCTTGTTATCCCTTCTGTTTATGCTGTGAAACCTCTGTTGATATACCCAAATTCTTGCAAAACGATAGAATCCTTTGAAGTTCTTGCATCTTTCCCTGAAAGCTGGGATTTGTTTAGTGATATTTTACCCTTATGTTTTGCTTTGAAGACTTAAAGTTTGAAATTCACATTTCTGTATTTATCTCCCTCATTATTTGTAATTTTTTGTGTTGTTTTTTGTTGTTGGGATACCATTCAGTCTTCAAATTAAACTAACTTCTGCTTGCCAACATGTAATTCCTGTTTGGTTGTTCTCTTTTATTTTCTGATTCATTCAGCATACAGAGGAGATGGAGTGGCACAAGTTGACAGATTAGCAGAGAAGCTGGCCTTTAAAATACAAATTTATACCAGCCTAAGTATTTGTAAACTGCTCCTCACAAAGAGGAGCAGACATCCGCCTTGAGCAAGCCATCCTCAGCACAAATAATCTACTGTTGAGGAAAGGCATATAAATGGACCTTCTGCTGTAGAACAGGTTGTCAGATGCATCTTTGAAAGTGCTTACAGCACAAAATGCATTAGTAAAACCATAATAAAGCAAACCCAATAGGAAATCAGAGTCTATATTTACTTGATTCCTGAGTTTGAAGCAAAAACATGGCCTTGAACAGCAGCAGCAAAGGCACAAAGCTCAAATTCTAAATTTATTCCATATGTATTTGTGCATTAGAAAACAACATTTCAGCACGCTTGAGTGTGAATGTTTTGCCAGGAAATATCTGATGTCATGGAGAGTATGAATCACATGGGTGTAATCAGTGAATTAATGAGCAGAACACAGGTGTATGGAATAATTACCTTTTGTTTTATTTGTTATGGTGATAGGTTTTCTATTTTGTGTAAGTGTATTCATAGATTTTTTGAGAGGTCCTATGTGCCAACAGTTCTACTGTGTACCTTCTATCACTAGGGCTTAGTTTTGCAGGCTCAGTTACATGTTTGCTCCTCTGTCTAATCTAAAACTGGCTAAAGCTTCTTCAAATCATCTGTGAACATACCATCCTCCCTCCTCTTCAAAGCTAGCAATTTTGTTATTTATGCTAGGAGCCAGAATGAAGTGAAACAGCAGTGAT